ATGACGTCACATCCCACTGTATTTACCAATTTGGATGTACGTGTAGACACACATACATAGGCAGGACTCATCGATCTCTGCAAATAAGAGCTGGCTTCAGAGCATATTCCAAAATGTCTCCAGAAACAAATGGAATCATCAGAACCTATTAACGGTGAGAACAGGAGGCCTAGCTCTTCTATTGCGAAACATATTATAGAGACAGGTCATAAAATTGATGTTAACAGATCTTTTAAACCTATCTATAAAACGTGTTTGGGGCGTATCCTAAAGTTTGTAGAAGCCCTAGGAATTAGAAAGTTCAAGCCACCTTTATGCGTTCAAAAACAATTTGTCATCACATTAAAGCTTCTTTGGTAAATTTTGTTTTGATACCATAGCAGATGTACTATTACCTCTGCTATTTGGTTTAGTGGTCTTCATTGTTATTTTGACCTTGGATATGTCCTTTTAACTTTTGACCTAACTTGTCTATTTTTCTCACCTCTTACCTCTTCATTGATTTCATATATATTCCTATGACAAGTCCGTATGTGATCAGATTGTTCGAAATGTGTTGCGCAAATACATTACACGATTGAGACAAATTACGTCTTCTTGTCGCTTTATCTAAATTCATAAAAGGAACTAATTGTTTTAGATTTTATTCATTGTCTGCTCACATTTTCATACCACAAACATGCACATATACACACACGCAGACATAATAAATGAGGAGATTATCTCGTTTTGACAGTAGTCGAAGTTTTAAGGCTTATATACTGAAGAATGTTAGAGTTAATAAATTTCAAGGACCATTGGATCAGGTCCCAGTGGCTTAATGGTATACGAGCTCGCCTTGTAACCGGAAGGTCCTGGGTTCGAACCATGGTGATGGGTGTGTACTGCTGAAGAGTCCCAAACTAGGACGAAACAGCTGTCCAGTACTCCCAGGTTTTCCAATGGTTCTCTAACTAATGTCAGCTCATGATGAAATCCTGAAACCAATCAAATCCCTACAAACCAACACTTGAATGATAAATTTCAATTGGTGTTTTACAAAATGATTGACAAAATGAATTGATTACTAATGTATCTACGTATTGTTGCTATTTGGGTGGGGGCCTGTGTTTTTGTGTGAATTTTAATTATATTATTATCGTTATTATTGTCCTCTTGGGTTCCTAGTGGGACAGAGGGCTTCAACAATACGTCTACACTTTGATCTATCCTCTGCTGTCTTCTTCAGCTGAGCCGACAATTTCCTATAATCTCTCATCTGCTCCTCGCATCAACACGGTGAAGGGAGAGAAAAATATACAAGAGAAAAATTATAAAACCGTGTGACTGAACTGATATAAATATGAGCAATAATTTATGCTCGAAACCCAGTCACCCAAATATTTGAAATAAACTAGACGAATATGGAATTAAATGTGAAGTTGGTGCTACCTTATGGATCAGAGAGTTGGCCAGCGCGTCATAAAGAGCCTCTCAAACAAACTACAGACCTTCATCAACAACAGCTGTCTTCGCTCAATACTACGCTTAAGATCAGATGGCCGACTAGAAAAGATCAGCGACAGGGCGGGATCTCTGGTAATGAGCCAACCAACCCAACAGGAACCGATTGTGCAAGAAATCAGCAGGAAGAAATGTAAATGGATTGACCATACTCTGGGGAAACCATTAAGTGAGTGACATCACTCACCGGACCATCAGTCGAGTGGAACCCGAACGGGAAGCGGCAAGTTGGTTGTCAGTACGAGAGGATGACATATAGGTGCAGGTGGTGATGCGAAGAGGAGATGAAAGCACGTGGGGAGATGTGGAGTGGAGCCAGGCGAAAACACTGGTAGAGAACCTAACGCAATGGGGATATATAGCTGAAGCTCCATGTCCCTCTAGGAACTAAAGGAAATAATAATATTAATAATATGGAATTAAATTCTACTAACCAGTCGCCAGGTTCTCTACAGTTGCATTTATGTTTACAAGACTCAAAAGCTTGCTTTATACGTATAAGCTTACTCTCAGCCCACTCAGCCCCCCCCACTCCATGTCTCAGCTGTACTTCACTGCAATTCGCCGAGTTGGGATAACAATGCATCATGTCACCATTGAGCATTATTACTTATGGTATAACAGCAGAAGGCAAGATATGGAAGTCAAGGTATCTCTTCAAGTAATTAAACCTCTGTTTATATCCATAAAGTTCATCTTTAATCAGTCACTGAGAGTATGATTTTGGTTTACATTAAACGATATGAAATAGAATGTTTAAATATATACATATAGTATTCTGTTGCTAATGCAGTACTGGACTGTGGGAATATGCGAGAATCATATTCCTTTTAGAACACGTTGTCTCTATCACACTACCATAATGGTAGCTATTACAGTGGAATGATGATCTTCTAGTTAGCAGTTGGATCTTGTAGCTGACTCCTCCAGTAGCTCTTTGGACTGGTAACACGTAGCCACTCTGGTTCAGACTCTACCAGAATCCATATCTCCATTGATGACAATAATAATAATAATATACTTTATTCCCAAACAGTACTTATGATACAATGTGGCATTCGCAGCATTTCTGTTTACAATATTGCATCTAATTTACTTAAGAGCAACAGCGGAAAAAATACATTACAAGGTACACTTAACCAAAATCAATAACAGCAACTTTTGGCATTAGCAGAAAAAGTAGGGTGAAAATGGATATACAAGTGTAAGATGATAAGAATAGTAATATTCCTCTAAAACAATTAGTTCCCTTTATGAATTTAGACAGACAAAGCAATAAGAAGGAAGACGTAATTTGTCTGAATCGTGTATTTTGTATTGTATATTTGCGCTACACACTTCGAATAATCTGATCACACACACACACACACACGGGCTTGTCATAGGAATACACATATATGAAATTAATAAAGAGTTAGGGGGGCGAGAAAATAGACACTTAGGTCAAGTTAAGAGGTCACCATATTGAAGGTGACCAAAATAACAATGAAGATCAGTCACTAAACCAAATAAGAGAGGTAATAGTACATCTACTCTGTATGGTATCAAAACAACGTCTACCAAGGAAGGCGGTTTAGTGTGGTGATGACTAATTGTTGCTTTGAACGTATAAAGGGGGTTTAAACTTTCTAATTGCCAGCTAGAGCTTCCATAAACTTTAGAATACGTCTCAAACATGTTTTATAGATAGGTTTAAAAGATGTGTGAACGTCAATTTTATGTCCTGTCTCTATAATATATTCCGTAATAGTGAAGCCAGGTCTTCTGTTCTCACCGTCACTGGGTTCTGGGGATTCTGTTTGCTTCTGAAGAAATTTAGGAAAACATGCTCTGAAGCCAGCCCTTATTTGCGAACACTGATGAGTTCTCTCCATGTATGTATGTGTATCCACACGTACATTCAAATTGGTAAATACAGTACGGGATGTGACATCATTTCTCGTATGTTCAAACGGTTTAGATGGATATATTGGCATCACATTCTCTATTATTATGATATTACCTGCATAAAAAGTCTTTTCAAACCACAACGGCGTTCACTTTTTGTCTAGTTATCAAGCTGCTATGATACCCCATGCGTAGGGTAGCTTAATATACACATCTTTCTTAGGGTTTTGGTGTTCCACTGACTACTTTAAACCTCCTGATGATCCTCTCTGGATAACTATTATCAACCAGAGTTTGTGTCAGCTCTCTTTCTTCTTCATCAAGTGTGACTTCAGTACATACACTTTGAATTCTACTGAAGAGACACCTCGCTCACTAAAGCTCTTTTGTACCAAACAGGGCAGAAACTGTGATAATTAAGATACTGTCGTGTCCTATCCTGTCCAGGTAGGTTTTCTATAAATGCATCATTTTATTGATCCATCAAGCCATCAGTCGACTAGGCAATATATCTACTAGAAAAGATAAACAGACATAAATGATATGCTACTTTGAACTTCATTCATTTGATTTAAAATTGAACTGGCAGAACAAGACTCATCACTTATGATTACAATATTGTCTACATATTTTTTATGAAGTGGCACAATTTCCAACTGAATTCTCCGATAAACTCTCAATATACGATATCTGCCAAAAGAGACCCTCAACAGACTTACCATAGCAACAGCATCAATCTGAGGGAAGCAATCGTCTTCGAGAATGTAAACCTAACATTGCTAGTACATAAAAGCAATAAACCCCTTAAATAGGATATAGGGAACGGGATGAAAAAATTGTTTGTGGAAATGTAATCACACAAAATGTCAACTGTTTTGAACACCACCAGGTTGATTGTCTTAACTTCTTAATGTATAAGGTTAGACGGAGCATATGAAGATATGATGGGTATTTCCACAACCTTCATTCATTACCCACTATATAATTTCATTTGTCCTATAATTTTTAAAATGATATACAACAAGAAATAAGGAGAAAAACACATCCCACTTGATGAACACAAAAAAATAAAACACTTTCACCCTGGGGAAACCAGTTGGGTGTGTTTCCAATCTGTGAACAAAGAAGTCTTCGGACTAGTCAGTGTAAAAGTTAATGTCACACATGTAGGTGTGTGTGTGGGTGGGTGGGTGTGCACATGTAGTATACCTTGCTGATGAACTAATCATTCACATTAAAATAAACAATTCTAATTGGTCTAGAATTTTGCTGTCTGAAACAACCAATCAAAAAGCAGCAAAATCAGCTGGTAATTAACAAAACATAGAAATGACCTTCGTGTCTATTGGTTAAAATAAGGCTTAATGGAATATTAATTTAGGTGTATAAAGAAAGCTGTTTCATTTTACATGCCTTTAGTATTGGGGATGGTTCGTGTGTTACCGGCATGTGTAACACATTTGTTTCTTGTGGAATTATCATACCAATGGTAACATAAAGCACAGGATTTCCGAAAACACTCTTAGACATACACACAGAATTCATGTCACTTTAGGCCATAAATATTTATTGATCGTGTTCTACACCATGTATCATTCATAACATATCATATGAGCTGTGCTGTGGATATTTATGATTCAGCTCCTCATTTTCAATGGATTACCCGTGGGAACGGTGGAGGTGTTGGTACAACACCGGTCAGTGTTGGGAAAGCTCAACTGTTGGATTCCATGCGTTTTACAATCCAAGATCTTGTTCAACAGGAAAGTTGTATTGGATCATCCAACTATCCAGTTGATAAACCATCACGTCTAGTTCAAATTGAATGTCGTAAACCAGGATGTCGTTGTGTATTGAAAAATGAACGTGCTCTAGCTATGAAAATTGTACCAGGTGTCACATTGGTACAGGGAGAATGGTTATTACCAAACAATGTTGCTGGCAAATCGAATTGGTCTCAAACATCTCAACATATGACAAATCCTCTCTCAAACAACAAAAGTAGTAGTTGTTGTAGTAGTCAAAATGATGTAAATGGCAGTCAGTTTGGATCTGCGTGCTCACAGTCAGTTGTTCTTACCTCATGTTGTCCATCTTGGTTTGAATTAGTTCGTCGAAGTGTAATTGGACCAACTGATACTGGTTCACAAATATGTCCTGAAGTTCCAGTTTGGTCTAGTTGTAAAGCAGTATGGAGAGCTAAACCAAAATTTATTCTACTACGTAAAGAAACTCAATGTCTATTCGCTACTAATGCTCAATCTCTTATTATGAGTTCAGCGGATTTACTTAAAAAAGATGATCGTACCACTTTAACATTGGATGCAGATAATATTGGGCTTCTACGCCCCGGAACTGTACTTCAATTGATTGATTGTCGTCTGTGTCGTTTAATTCATAAAGATGATCAAACTACTGCTTCTTCCTCTTCCTATCGATTTTCTTCACGTTATCGATCGAAACCAGTTTCTATGCTTCAGTGTTCAGTAGTCGGTGGAAAAGCGCTAGCTGCCTTAGCTGCTTCCATTACAAATTTATCACCTCAGGATGCTTTAAATTGGTTCAGTACTGGTCCAAGGTTAGTCTATTTATCTTTAGCTTCAAAATCAATAATGTGTAGTCCTGTAAATATTTCAAATTGCTCAAGTGTCAATACCGTCAATACTGCTAAGCATTCTAGTCATACTGATCAAAGTATCACTGATAATCATAATTACAGTAATAATAATGGTGTTCATAGTATATTATCATTGTTAAGCACCTATCAATTGCCGATAATTACACGTCCTGTTGTTGGATTACGTTCAAGTGAATGGTTCTTTATGGGCCGACTGACAAATCAGGCTATGATATCTAATTCAGATTCTGTAAATATGCATTCACTACTACAAATATTCTCCTGTCATCATGGTGATTTAATATTCTTAGAACCACTCTCTGATTGTACTGGATCAATATATCAAAATGAATCAAACATGTCAGGGAAAAGTCGTTTCTTTGTCGTGACTACAGATATGTTAATGCAGCATTATTTTCTAGTCGCTGATTCCCCTACATGTGCACTGTATAGTCGAGAACTTGAAACTCACGCTTTTCGTGTTTCACATTTCTTAGCTGCATGTCATCCTGTCCAAGGATTAACTTATATCCTGAAACATTTGGAAGATATAAGTCATTCATCAAATACTGGTCCTTCATACACCCCGTTGACTAGAACACTTGGACCGATTACAAATCGATTTGGTACAATTGCTATTCAATCAGCTGTTACCAGTATAGCAGCAATTGCATCGTTGGCAATGCATGAAGAACACAATGATATTCCGAATGATCCATATCATCAGTTGAATGAAATTCAGCCGAAAATATTAAATTATTTATCATTGAATTCTACTACTACCACCGTTATTGGTGCTTTATCCTCTTCATCTTCTCCACAAATCGATAATATTGATTTTTATCATTCAACTAATTGTTTAAATACACATTTATATAATACACATTCAAGTCTTTCTTCATCAATATTTGCTAGTGAAACAGATGAAATGAATGCATTATGTGATGAAATTGAAGATATTTACTTTTATGTACGTAATGGTCATTTTCCTATGCATTCACATTCCTTATCCTCATTACATCAACGTCATGAAGAGAAAAGTTTGAATGCATCAGCACCTATCTCCCCCTATTTAAATAAATTACAATCAATAAATCAATACAATTCCAATAAAAAAATTAATAATAATAATAGTTATAATCCAGTGTTAATTGAACATGAAATACGAAATAATAATAGTAATAATAATAACAATAATTGTCCAGTTAAGATAACGAGTAAAGCACCAGTTTTATTAATTCGTCCGAAACCTTATGAAAATTGTTCAACCAGTGGAGATGGGATTAAACAGTTTACTTCAACGTCTATACAACAACCACCACCGGCTCAATCATGGAATCAATTAAATGTGAACTATTCCACTGGACATAATAATTCCTATTATCCGCATTATCAACAGTCTAAAGAATTGAATTTTACGCCTAAACCATGGCAACCGATAACCAATGATCAGTCGTCTCGTTGTCATGTTAAATCTAGACCGATGGTGAATAATAATGCTAATAACAAGTCTAACGTATTTCCGAATACTTCGACCACTTCTGCTACTTCTACCAGTGCCAAAATCAATAATAATAATAATAGTGGCAATTCTATGGCATTTATTAATTTAACCCCTTCATCTGTTCATCAGTGTAATCATTCGGTCAGTGTCACTTCTTCTACATCTTTGACGTCATCTTATGAATATGGAGCTAGTCGTCCACCGCCACCTACGACGACAACAACGACATCAAGGACAGCACAGCATTTCATACAAACTATCCCTCCTAAACTCTACATCAATAATAATGAAAATGGAGTCGCGAGTATGCATAAAAGTAACCACCTGATTCAACAATCTATGTACTCCTCTAATCTCCCCGCAGTAACACTGTCCACCTGTAATGGAAATCAATTAACCAGACCATTGTTTATGACTACTTCAACAAGTATGCTGGACAAACAAAACTGTGCACGCTATACGAATGAAAATCCTAATTACAGTGAGGAATGTATTTATGATGAACCCAAAGAGGTGAATTATTCAACGCAACCGTATAAGATCACTACTGTTACCGCTGCTAATGATTATAGTCGAGGGAATAAAATGCCGGCGTTCACGACTACTAACGACATATCTTACTATCCGCCTATACCTAGACAGAGTATATCATCACCAAGTCAGAATAGGCGTCATCTAAGCTTGTCTACATCGCATCTTTATCCGTCGGTCAGTATGAATTCGACAACCAATCAACCGGTGTATGAAAGTGATATGTCGTTTTTGGATGGTAATATCTGCTGTCCAACAATAACAACATCTCATCTTATCATTGGTGGCCTCACTACTCCGAATACCACTACAATGACGAAAGACATTAACCACAGGAGTACTACAGCCTTCCATTCAATTAATAATTTGTCAAATGATGATGGAATGACAACTTCTATGATCAATCGTATTAAGATTATTCCACGAATGGGTGATTCATCAAACTACACTACTGCTTTACCCAATAATAATACCAATAATAGCAGCCATGAGACCCATTATTTCCCCACGAATACTGCTGACTCATCTAATTGTATGACCACCAGTTCTAACAGTCAACTACACCAAGAACAACCGCCACCACCTTCTATGCCACTTTTATATAATATCCCATCAGTAAGAACTCCTAGGACACCTAGTCGTACATCACGTCTTTACCAATCCACAATCCTGCCTTCATCAACTAGTAATGATCAGAAACAACAGGTATCATTTGTGCATAGGCCTTATCCGTTTATCCGATCATCGAATAAACAGATCAACTCTGGTTGCTATGATCCCTCGGCGCTGTCAAACACTGCACTGTTACAGTCACCACGACACAAATCTACTGAGCTGACAAATTCATCACCGGACACAGGTATTGGTGTAGAGAGTAATTATGATCAACAGATCACATCAGGTGGTGGTTGTGGCGGGGGTGGTGGAGGGGGGTGTTTTATGCCTTTAAATGCTTATCATCATCATAATCATCATTCTTCGTCCTCTTCAACAAATCTGATGATGCCTAAAATTGTCTGGTCACCAATAGTAGAATCGAATAGTCTTCAACAGCGCCAAGATTCAGAGACTTGTGTGAAAACAAGTATTAGCGGTAGCAGTAGTAATTATGAAAATCAATCAGGGAAACAATCGATTTCGTGTAAACTAACCAGGTTGTTTGTAAACAATGCTTATTTGAACAATACTATTGGGACTACAAATACTTCTACTACCACCACGACCACAGCGATTACTAATCACAATAATAAAAGTGCTAGGAATCAACCACTTTATCGATTTTAAATGTCCTCTTAAAGGTACGCACACACACACATACACACACGCACGCATGTTCAATTGTCTTCCAGTCAAACAAGTGTAAAGGTAATTAAGCTTCACATGATTAGATGCTACTATGGTTTACCTTTTCATTTTTATCAAAAACTTAAATATTTTCGTTAATGGCAAGTGGTGTATGTGTCTGTGTATGTATGTAGCTATGACGACTGAAATTAATCTTGATATTTGTGTGTGTGTGCATATTTGTGTACAGAACAATAGGCTTCTTTTCTCCGTCTTTGTTTTTTGTTATAACTCTTATCTGACAGATAGTTTCTTTCGCCCAATGTCTCCGCTTCCCCACTCCACTACAACCCCCTCCTCTTGGCGCACCCACTTTTTAATCTTTCCCTTTTTTGAAATTTTTTCAAGTTTTTTTAACCAGTCAATCAATAGTCACAATTTTAATAGTAATAATAACAATCATTATTATTATTACTGCTACCGTTTTTATTGGTATATAAGTATATATTCATAGGTGTTTGAAATAAAATCAATATTCTTATTATAGTTAGCCGTACTAATCAATACTTATTATTATTTATTATTAACATTGTACTAACTGACATTTGCCTTAAAATAGTCTCTTATTATCTTTATTATTATCATATTGATCGATAATAGGCAGTCTAAAATTAGTCATTATATATACGCCCTATGGTAAATATCAGTCGAGTCAGCTATCGATCGATGTCAGAATTTGAATTTTTTATTCTTATTCTTATCACATTATTATTTGGTCTCGCTTAGTCATATGTACAAAAGACATACTTATCACGCATAGATCGATAAGCTGCCTGCCTGCCGGATAGATAGATAGACAGACATATACGTATGGATGAATAAATGTATTATCATTACTTTTACGCCTCTTAATACACCTTTGTTTTATTTATGACGACAATTAGATATACATATATGATGATAATAATATTAGTAATAATAATAATGATAGTGTACAATTGATGACCACCATATTGTTGCCTTGTTGAAGACTTCACAATCGAAGCCTTTTCGCTATTTTTTCTTCAGTTTTTCTTTTTTGTTTTTGTGTGGATGTTGTTGTAATGTTGTTATAATGATTACAAGAAGATGATGAGCAAAAAAAATCAAAGATTAAAAACAATTATCGCGTTTTCTTTCTCTTTTTGTTGTGCTTAATTTATTTGTAATGAGTAAAGAATTGATGAGTCATCAGCAGCGCACCAGCCTTTTACTGTGTTCTGTCCGCAGCCGCAGAACACGATCTCTTCCATGTCACCCATCCATGCCCCCAATTTGTCATTTCCTATTCAGCTTCCATCCACTCTCTAGGGCCTGGCATCATCTTTTTCTCAGTGCGTGTGTGTGTTCAATACATCTTGACCAGTAGGGTTCAGGAGGTCGGGTGTAAGGAGAAATACTCGCCACCGAAGACATTGGCTAGCGGTCGCTCTATGTCGTGAATTGGCAGAAGTTACAATTCATGAGTCCCTGCGAGTAGATGGTCTACGAACTCACTAGCCTTGTAACCGGAAGGTCCTGCGTTCGAACCATGGTGGTGAGTGCCTACTGATGAAGAGTCCCAAACTAGGCTAATGAAACAGCCGGCTGTCCAGTACTCCCTGACTTCCAGTACTTCCAATGGTTCTCTAACCAATCAATGTCAGCTCATGATGAAATCCTGTAACCAATCAATCAAATCCCTACAAACCAATACTTGAATAAATATATCGATTTTCTTCAGCATATTTGTTTTAGCGATAGGTTCACTGGTTGCTAGAGTTCCTTATCGCTAATCTTTTCTCAGTGGGCATCTAATCTTCAGTATGGAGTCACAGAAGGCACACTGATTTCAGAGTAGTGCAAAGTTAAATTTAAAATGCTATACAATGGTGCGTTGAAGATGAGGTGTACGTAATTTGACGATATAGAAATATTAAAAAGTAGTTCCACGCCAAGTAAAATACTAATTCTCATCATCCTGGAGAGAATAAAGAATACACTGGATACAGAACTCTGCCAGCCATACCGGAACAAGTTGGATTCAGGAAAGGCAAATCATGTACTGCGGATCAAATTGCAACTCTACGCATCTTCATGTAACAAGGCATAGAGTGGCAGTCAAACCTCTCTCTCTCTATCTCAACCTCATTGACTTCGAAAAGGTCTTCGATAGCGTTGATCATAAAGTAATTTTGAACCGGCTCCAACAAATATGGCGTGCAGTTCCCAAGACTTTATCAACCTCATTCAACAGCTGGTTATATGAGAGTGCCACGTGTCAGGTAATTCACAGCGGAAAGCTCAGCAAGGCATTCGAAGTGCATACAGGAGTAAGACAAGGCTGTGTGTCTATTATCACCAACGATGATATTCTTAATTGTGGTGGACTGGATCATGCGTCAGATTGTTGGGGGTGGGGTGGGGCAAGGAGTCAGGAATGCTCTGGACCGCAGATAAGAAGACTCTAGAAGATCTGGATTTCACGCGTGGATGATATATGTCTAGTGTCACACAAACTCGAAGACTTGCAAGCGAAAACAGGACTGCAAGTGAACATAGAGAAGACAGAGATTATTATTATTATATCCTTTAATTCCTAGAGGAACATAGGGCTTTAGCTGCGCGTCTCCATTGCCTTCAGTTTTCTGCCAATTTTTCACTCCGCTCCAAGTCTGCCCACATGCTTTCATCTCCTCCTCACATGACCTCCTCCAAGTCACCCTTGGGAGACCAACACGCCGCCTCCCTTTCGGGTTCCACTCGACGGCTTGTCTAGTGATGTCATTCAATTGATGGTTTCCTCAGAGTATGACCAGCCAATTCATCTCCATTTCTTCCTACCTATTTGTTTCACAATCGGTTCCTGCTGGGTTGGTTAGCTCATTGCCAGAGATCCCTGTTGCTGATCTTTTCTGGCCAACCATCTGATCTTGAGTAGTATTGAGTGAAGACAACTGTTAATGAAGGTGTGAAGTTTGTTTGAGATGCTGTTTATGACGCGCTGGCCAAGTCTCTGATCCGTATAGTAGGACTGACTGTCTTCGCAATGGAGTTGAAAATCCGGATGTTATTTTTGATGCTGAGTGATGTTGACCTCCTCACAGACATTAGGGTAATGAAAGCCTGTCTTGCTTTTCCGATTCTGGCTTTGATATCCCCATCAGTTCCATCGGCCTATAGTTGAAACGATGCTTCCCAGGAAGGTAGGTAGGTAAAGGTTTCTTTCAGGTTCCTCCCATTTATGCCGGCTGATTGTTGTCTGTTGTTGTTGTTGTTGCTGTTGGTGTTGGCTAGGAAACTTCATCAACTCTGTTTTTTCTATGTTCACCTGAAGTCCCATCTTTGATACTTTTTCTGCCAACTTGTTGCTTTTCACTTGCATATCTTCCAGTTTGTGGCAAATCAGACATATATCATCGGCGAAGTCCAGATCTTCCAAGTCTCTTGTGTGAGTGCATTTTATGCGTGTTTCCTCATTGCCCGTTGTCTGTCTCATTATCCAATCTACTGCAATCAGGAAGATCATTGGCGATAATAGACAGCCTTGCCTCACTCCCCTCTTCACTTCGAAGGCTTCCGTAAGTTTCCTGTTGTGGATTACTTGTCATGCAGCATTGTCGTATAATTGTTGGATGAGATGTATAATTATCGATGGCACCCCTTGGTAGTAGCGAAGTAGTTGCCAGATGACCACTTGATCGACGCTGTCGATGAGATGATGAAAATAACTAATCAAAAGCAACAACCAACCAGCACCAGTCACCATCAACGGGAGAGATTTAACAGAGCTTAACTACTTCACTTATCTGGGAAGCATCGTTTCAACTATATAGGCAAGAGGAAGGGACGAAGATGTCAAGGTCAGAATCGGAAAGGCGAGATACGCCTTCATCAACCTGAATCCACTTTGTAAATCTTCCACACTCAGCATAAGGAACCGGGATTCGCAGTTTGAACACCAATGTTTAGTCGGTTCTTCCATACTGGTCAAAAACTTGCACTGCGCACCCGTCAAGAAAAGGATTTCCAACAGCCTGTTGAAGACTTTCATCAACAGCTGCCACCTTCGCTGGCTGGCTGGCTGGCTCTATATTGAAGATCAAATGGCCAGAAAGAATAAGCAACAAGAAACTATGGCTGGCAACAAACCAACAAGCAAGAGCCGATCGCTCAAAAAAAGTTGTAGGCGAAAGTGGAGATGGACTGATCGGACATACATTGAGAAGGCCGTCGAATGACATCGCACGCAATGCAGGCCATCCCTCGAGTGGAATCCAAATTGTTGAAGCGACGAGTGGGTCGTCAGTGCGAAGATGACATGGAAGACATCGTGTAAGTTGGAGGAAGAGATGACAGAGTTTGGTCAATCATGGACCTAGCTAGCTGTAGAGGACGCCATAAAACAGAACAAAGTGGAAGTGTGTTGTTGAAGCCAGTCCTATATTCCACTCAAGGGAACGCAAGGGAATAATAATCATGATAAAAAGTAGTTAGGGCGAAGAGCTGTTTTCAATAAATTCTTCTTCAGGCTCTACAGTTATAAATCCATTAATTTTTAAACAGTTAAGACAAGTTAGAATTATGTACAGGAAAGTGGACTGTTCTAGGACAAGCACGAAATGGAATAATAGTCAGTTAGTCAAATGAACTGTAGTCAAGATTTGACAGAATAGCTCTAAAATACTTGGGCGCCGAGTGAGAAGTAGACATTTGTAAAAAAAATCATATTTTTAAAATCTCAGCGATATTGAAATGAGTAATTCCAACATTTCAATCGGCAATCTGGTCCGAACTTTTTCAGGGAAATTAATCGAAATTAACATAACAGGGGTTTATATATATGATATGTATCCATTTGGAGTAAACACAGGAGTCAGACAAGGGTGCTTATTATCTATCACCAATGATATTCCTAATTGTGGTGGACTGGATCATGCGTCAGACAGTGGGTGGGAAACGAGAAGACAGGAATATCCTGG